CGTACTAAGTTCTTGCGGTCGTACTATTAAAGTTCACAAATATTTTCTTTCGGATAATATAAGCTATAATAATTCTATTTTTAATTTACGTTGTTTAAGTTATATTTAATTTTATATCGTATATACCAATTTTTTAAACTAAAATGGCTTACGGTATTTTGATAGCATAATATCGAATGCAAATTTTAAACGTAAAATTTAAAATTTTAAAATTTCCGTTCTGAATAAGCAAGTTTCTATTTAATAGATTTTGAAAATTTATTTGTTCTTGTATAATTTAATATTGCGAGGTTTGAGTAGTGGGGTGGTTGTTGATATTCCTATATTTTGTAAAACTCACAATCAGCACTTTTTTAAATTCTTTGTTTTATAGAATAGTATATTTAATTTATTTTGGAAAATAATTTTTTTTTCTTTTATTTCTCCAAACCTTTTTGTACTGCGTAAGCGTTGTTGATGGGGTGTAACTTTTTCGACTTTGACCAATTGTTAAAAGTTTTGTCTTCAACAGAGTGTTAATAATTTCAATCTGTCTTTTTTTTAACTATTTCCTTAAAAACTTTTTTATTTATTAATATTTTATATTTTTAATTATTTACTTTTCTTTTAAAATTATTCGCAATGGTTAAAATGTTCACTTTTTAGTAGTTATTCGTTTAGGTTGGATTTTCACTTTTTAGCAGTTATTCATTTTGGTTAAAATGTTTACTTTAAGTAATTATTCGTTTTGGTAAAAATGTTCAGTTTGTAGTGGTTATTTAATCGCGACAAAAGTTACTTGTATGCAATGTGTCCTTTTCCTTAATATGCATTAAGGGGCCATCCTACCACACTTTACGCTATTTTACTTTGCTCACTTAACATATTGATTTTCTACGAAATCATGCCACTCTGTTGCTAACAAAAAGAAATTCTAGTTAATTTTGTCTGCACACGCCAGCTGGCGAAAATGTATTTTTTTGTGTTAATTTCAATAATTAAGAAGAATTGAATTTTTGGAATATTTGGGACTGTCGAATGTCGGCAATACTGTTTCGTTGGAATTGAGTTAGCTTTTTCAATCTAATGTTTTCTCGGCAGAGAATTATTCTTTTGAATTATTCCTTAGGAGAATTATTTTATTTTGGGTCAACAACTTGTTATGTGTTAACTTATATAATGCTTGTTTATTAATATAAATAAAAGTAGATATACACAACACTTGAATTGTATAATCTTGGTATGCTTACAATTTCTTGCAATCTACCAAGAATCTTTATTTTTGCTTGGTATTTATTCATTTTTGTTATCAATACAACTAGCATTAAATGTAAAGTAAGGAATAAAATACTTCAGTCAATAGCCCATGCAATGTGAAACTAATCGAGTTGTTTCTTTATTTGGGTTATTGGCCTGCTTAAAATAAAAAATGAAGCTAAAATTATATTGGGTCAGTTATATGCTGACATGGAACAAAACTTATTAAATAACAAAGAGTGTATGTGCAAAAATTATGTTCTTTTGAACGATGCTAATATGATAAATGCCCAAATTGCCCAATAAATATTCTAGAGCACGTTCATTTTCTCCGAAAACGGCACATGTCACAGTTTCTAATTCAGCCTGAACTCTTCCACAAGCAATCTACCCTAGTTTTGAGTTCTTCAATATAGAACTTGGGCATTCGAAGTTCTTGTGAGAAAATCAGGTTGAAGTAGAAATCTGCTCCAAGTAGTACGTCAATTCTGGTCGTTTGATAAAAATAGGGATCTACCAGTTTTATGTTTTCGGGAATAGGCCATGATGTGATGTCGATGTCAGTGCTTGGTTGGGATGGCACTATATTTGGTAACACAAAGGCTTCTAGGCGTGTTCTAAATTTGCTGGGCAGTGACTGAAGCTCCGCGTTGAACCTGTGGTTTGCGGTTCTCGATCTTCCGCCTACACCTTCGATACAGAGAGATGCTTGAATGGGTTCGATACCCAACCTCTGACACCTGATAAATCTGTGAACCGGAATCTGGAATCGCCTTGAACTCATAGCTTCTTACATTATTTACCTTGATCGCAACCCGTGCGGTTGCAAGGAGTACATATGATTGGGATCTATTCGCCGATGCTACTGTTGGCGGCTGCTGAACTGACAAATCGGCTGACTTGTTCTCTCCTTTTGCCTCGTGGAAAAATGCAAAAGTGTATTGTGTTTTTGTTGACATTTGCTGCACTCCCCACTTGTAGACGTTTTTGCCTGATGGTCAAATATTTACACATCTTGTGTCTAGCAACCTATTTCTGTCTTTCGGGCACCACCAAGAACTTTTTACAGTAATATAGGAGCTGGTCACCTTTGCACATGTGACATCTGCGGATCGTGGTGGAAGCAGCCATCGCAGACGGTTTGCTCTAACGATTCGAAGCGATTCCTCAAACATTTCATGAAATACTCCATCGTTTGGAACTCTTTGGAATTCACAATTGACTGCTCATACAACACATGAGTAGTCTTGACTATTCTCTTTGTTAGGATGTGGATTAAGAGTGGATTCCATTTGGCTTTACTCCAAGATCCTCCAATGCCAATAACGATTCACGAAGACTGTCATGAAAGTCTTTCGCTGATCTGCTATCGCCAGATATGTTGGGCATGTTTAGCATTCTCTCAAGTATAGTTGACACTTGAGCTCTCTTGTTGTTGTACCTGTCTTGGAGTGTCTTCCAGACAATGTCGTAAGTGGCCTCGATCAGTTCGGCCATTAAATTGAGGGGTTGTAGCTTTTGGCAGATTAACTTGATTTGCCAAGTTCCAGCCTGATCTCTGCTGAGACGACGAATGATCGACCTGTGTTAACGTGATATATTTTCTTTGAGCCTTAACGTCTCTTCCTCTGAAAGAACGTATGCTGATGCATCGTACCCCAACGTTGGGTCATCAAAGTCCTGGAACATTTTGAAGTGGATATCTTCCACGTGTATCCACAGTTTTTCAGTTGCAGCTACTGTCTGTCAGGGAGCAGCTTGGGCTGAACTGCCCCTTATTAAAGTTTGAATGGACTGCATTAGAGTCCTCTGAAGTCTCTCTGATGCAGCCACACTGCTGATTGTAGTAAACTGGCTAGATTGTTTTTGTAAACCCACCCTTGTTGCCAGAAGAGGTTACTGAGGCGTTCGTTCCTTGCCCCTTTTGATGTCTGCCTAGATGTTGTCGATTGCAGTCCTATACTCTTCACCAATGACTTGGAATTCGTTGTTGGTGATATGGAGATGTGACTGCCGAAGGATCTGCACGAATTTTGTTTTCATTGCGATCGATCTCTGCCCAGAGTTCTTCCATCTCCTTTAGCCTTTTTACGTTCGCAATTGCCTTTCTCAACTTGGCAATTCCTGCTTGTTGTTGATCCATTACTGTGGCTAGATCCATACTGTGCCCGCCTTGCGCTTATGATAGTTAATAACTTGATTCAGAAGGTTCTTGATATAGGAACTGGCTTCTTTTCTAGATGTTTCTGCAACAGGTTTTAAGGATTCCGCGGAACGCATCAAATCTATCTTCCTTTTAGTGCTAATATTTTTATTTTATTGGCAAATTGCTTTTTATTTATAAAACTTGTAGAATTGGTAGTGCTCCCTTTCTTTTAATTTTTTTAATGGGGGACAAATTGGTTTGTTTTGGCAAATCAGCTGATTAGCTGCAAGCTTCTGCAGGAATGCCGTCTGTTTACTTTTCGCATTTTCCTTGCAAAAGAGAATAAAACTACCTTACTCTCTCAGAAAGATGTTGCTGGACAATTCCTGCAGGAAAAGTAACCAGACACACCTAATATAAGGGGCATTCACGAATGGTTATTGTTGATAAATATAAGAAATATAGCAATGCAATTATTATACGTTGAAATATTTTGGTCATTAAAGAAGCAGTCATAGATCGTGTGTCATGTTTTACTTGGTATAAGAGCTAGCCAGTTAATTGAAGACATTTCCACAGGCACCAAACTCAAAAGGGCAATTGTTAAAAAAACGCAGAATTCCAACAGTTATAAATATACAAAATTTTATATATACTAAGTTTGTTTCAAATTGTTGTTTTAATTTTCTTAAATTAACAACCTTATGGTAAATTAAACCTTGAGAATGTGGTATTGTAAAGTGTTGTATATCTACGTAAAAACCGCTATTAATTTATCTCAGATTGTAAGAATTTGTTGAAAAATGAAGAATAAACAAAACCCACTGTCTATTTGACACTAGGGGCGTCTGGTTACCCTAAAGTTTATAACAATTGTTACAAATTGTTACTGGAAGTCGTCTGTTTACCCAAAAGTTCTGCAAAAGAGAGCGGTCGGAGAGAGAAATTTTGACAGTTCTTTCAGTGAGAATTTGCAAATTCTTGCTGGAAAAATTTCTTCTTGCAATCGCTTGCAACTCTTCTTCTTCTCATTCATCGACATTCAATCAGATGTTTTCTATTGTCTGTTTATTTATTTTTGTGCTTTCAATTTGAAAATATTTTTTTGGAATTAGCAAGACTAATAGTTTTTGGAGAACAACTTTATAAAATGTGAAAAACGTAAATGTTAATATGTAATAAGAAAATAAAAGACTATTTTCAACATTTTTATTTAAAAAACTTGTAAAATTAGTGTTGGTTCCTTTGTTTTAATTCTCCTTATGGGGGACAAATTGGTTTGTTTTGACAAATCAGCTGATTAGTTGCAAGCTTCTGCAGGAATACCGTCTGTTTACTTTTCGCATTTTCCTTGCAAAAGAGAATAAAACTACCTTACTGTCTCAGAAAGAAGTTACTGGACAATTCCTGCAGGAAAAGTAACCAGACACACCTACTATAAGACACCAGCCAGAGATGCATTTTTCTAGTTTCTTTGTAATTGAGTCACCTTTCTTATTGAGCCATGGTTCCAGTTAATATATATATATATATATATATATATATATATATATATATATATATATATATATATATATATATATATATATATATATATATAATTTATTAGGTTTAAACAAAAACTTTACGTTCATATGATTTTTGACTGTTTTGTTGTTGCGGCAGTCCAACTGTAACCACAGAATGGACTAAGGGACAGTCCTTGACTGAGTGAATTCTGGTAATTCCGCACTATATGCTCTACCGTTCTGGGATCGTATCTAAACTGTAGTTTCTTTTACTATAGATATGGGGTTTAGTTTACTGAAAATTGTTTCAAGTTCTTCATTTTCTTCATCTGTGGGAGATACAGCGCCGTCCTCGCTATTGTCACCTTTGTTTGACAAACAATGAACTTTCATATACCGTGATTTACAAGACATATTTGATATTGCATTGACATTTAGTTGACTCTGCTCGACCCAGACGTCGTCATCGCTGATAGAATCATTTAAGATTTTTTGGAGTTCTTCAGACGAAGCTTGAGCAGCATAACAATCCGAACCTAGAATGTATATACAACAGAAACAGACAAACAACATTCGCATTTTCCACTAAAAACATAATTTTTATCCGACAAAAAAGATAATGATAATTATGATATGAAAACGGAACCGTGGATAAATCAGAAACGTCATTAGTTTGGTTTAATATCTAATTTATTCGCGGTGCTCTCATAGACATATACTAAAAAAAAAAACAGATTAATCATATTTAAATGCTAAAAAATTACAAAAACTAACAAAAAATGGACAAATTAAAAAATATTAAAATACATTCTTATAATGTATACTGAACAATTATTATTTGCAATATGATAAAATAAATTAAGTAAAAATGCACATGACCAGCAATGGCGATAAGTTTAAATTCCTTATAAAATAAAAATTTCTTATAAAATAAAAAAAGTTAGTAAATAAAATAAATTGTCCAGCAACAATAAAAACAAATAGCGTTGCTAATTAGAATTAACCTAAAAGTATAGAGTAACATAAAAATAAAGCGTAGAGGCGTGATATGTATGAGTTTATTTTAGTGAATATTGCAACATCTGTGCAAGGATGTGTTTGGGAAATCGACGGTACCGGTGTTCGATCTGCAACTTCCATCAACATCACCAGCATTGCCACCATCGCTGTATTGTTCACAAGTTGATGATATTTGCAAATCCTCCAGACGTGTTTTGAGTTGCTGAGGCGATACGGTCTTTTGGCGTGATCCGTTCTTTTCCAGCTCATTTCTTTTCGTGTATTTCATTGCACAAACTGTTGCCTGTTGTTCAGATGACAAAACTCTGCAGCTCGTATCTAAAGCACAGACATCGATAAAAGTTGATGTACAGCTATTATATTCTGGACATGGTGAATGCGATTCAGTACTTTCTGGGGTATATGGATCCGGAAATTGTGAACAGTTTTCGATATTGGTACTTAAGTGCTGCGTATCAATACGGTTTAAAATTACATTATTTGAAAGCACTAAACTTTCAGAAACTAAGCGATATCTGGAATCGATTGACTGTTTTTTAATGGTATTTTTACAAAGTGTACATATTGCGGCGGTATCAGGTAATTCATCATTATTTTCATCTGATGATATTTGAAAACATTCACACACCGATATATTGTTCGTATCAAATATGTTAATACTAACGGGCGTCTTCGTAAACAAATCTTTTGTATTTATAAATTCGTCGCTATGAGATTTCATGTTACCTGCACTAGAAGCATTGGTAATCGTAACTGTTAAATGCTTCGAGGAGGGATTTTCTTTATTTACATTACATTTTTTAACGTCTTCTATTAAATCTTCGGATAGGATACATGCTCGTTCAATATTGGCATTTGATTCTTTAATAAGTTTACTATTAGGAGTTTCATCACTTTGATTCAAACGGGCGGAGTTATTGATAGTGGCAGCTGGGATATGATGTTTAAAATTTGGTTTAAAATAAAGAGGATCACTTCGGGGTCACCAAAAATGTTTATTAATATAAATAAAAGTAGATATACACAACACTTGAATTGTATAATCTTGGTATGCTTACAATTTCTTGCAATCTACCAAGAATCTTTATTTTTGCTTGGTATTTATACATTTTTGATATCAATACAACTAGCACTAAATGTAAAGTTCATCTTCTCCGTAAACGGCACATGTCAGTCTTCCACTAGCAATCTACCCTAGTTTTGATTTCTTCCATATAGAACTTGGACATTCGAAGTTCTTGTGAGAGAATCAGGTTGAATTAGAACTATGCTCCAAGTAGTACGTCAATTCTGGTCGTTTGATAAAAATAGGGTTCTACCAGTTTTATGTTTTCTGGAATAGGCCATGTCAGTGCTTGGTTGGGGTGGCACTATACTTGGTAACACAAAGGTTTCTAGGCGCCTTATAAATTTGCTGGCCAGTGACTGAAGCTCCGCGTTGACACTGTGGTTTGCGGTTCTCGATCTTCTGCCAACACCTTCGATACAGAGCGCACTTCCCACTTGTACACGTTTTTGCTCGATGGTCATCCTTGAATCAATTATTTACACATATTGTGTCTAGCAACCCATTCTCGCAAGTATAGTTATCACTTGAGCTCTCTTGTTGTTGTGCCTTATGAGTTTTTCGGTTTCCCAGTCACGTTGGCCTTGAGATACCACATTTTTTGCATTTTCCTAAAAATATCAGAAAACGTCTGCTACTTCTCTAAATAATCCTCATTAAATTGAGGGATTGTACCTTTTGGCAGATTAACTAGATTTGCCAAATTCCAGCCTGATCTCTGCTGAGACGACGAATGATCGACCTGTGTAAGCTTCGATATTTTTTCTTTGAACCTTAAAGTTTTTCCTCTAAAAAACGTATGCTGATGCATCGTACCCCACCAACGTTGGATCATCAAATTCTCGAACATTTTGAAGTGGATATCGTCCACGTGTGTCCACAGTTTTTTAATTGCCGCCACTATCTTTTGATGACTGCCTTGATGTTGTCGATTGCAGATCTGTACTCTTCACCAATGACTTGGTATTCGTTATTGGTGATATGGAGATCTGACTCTGCCGCAGGATCTGCACGATTTTGTTTTCATTGCGATTGATCTCTGCCAAGAGTGCTTCCATCACTTTTTGCTGTAGAACTCCACGGTTCTTCGTTCCAAGGGATCGTTTTTCACGTTCGCAATTGCCTTTCTCAACTCGGCAATTTCTGCTTGTTGTTGCTCTATTGCTGTAGCTAGATCCATACTATGTCCGCCTTACGCTGATTAACTATCACTTGATTCAGACGGTTCTTGATTCAGGATGTTTCTGGTTCTTGGATGTTGGGATCGTTGTTTTTTGTAACTCTTTCTCTCTCTTTTCTTCTATCGCCCGATACGAACGAAGGCTCTCCCCGCTATTGTGCAAAAAGGTAATAGTGTTTACCAACTCCTTTTTTACTGTTTATTTATAAAGCATGTCTTTTGCATTATTTCATATTTTAAACTAACCTCACTATCGTGCTTTATTTACTTTATTTTACATTGGTTTGCGTTGCACATTCAACCCTTTCCCTGCATTGGCGCAAACACCTAGGTTACGGAAATCCTCATTTCCCTTGTTTTTTTGTCCGGGATATTCTCCCCAAGTGACGGGATCGTAAGCTCAATAGGAGAGGAACCAAAGAATTACATAAAATTAAAATTCTGTTGGGAAATCTTCTAAATCTTACAACCACACTTAAAAATATTTTCATCTTTCTCCACTTGTTATGCTTTCGTTTTACATGAACGAACCATGTAGGTTAGGTTAACCATGTAGGTTAGGTTAGGTTAAAGGACGCGCGATTGCCATATGGCAACCGCTCCACTCGGAGAACTATAGGTCCATTGTGTTCATCCTAGAGAAGAGCTTTGAGAGATAGAAGAAAAAAGTGATTGATAGAGAAGATGAAGATAAGATGATAGTGTAGTAGAGTGAGAATCTACGGCTGAGGAGTTTGCCGTGTCGTCTTTAGCCACTTGAGTCTTCTGGCTGGTTGAAGTATTACTACTGGGTCAGTGTTAGAAAAAGATGACAAGTCATGTGACACTAGTTCTCCCACCATCCTATGCCTCACATTAATGAGTGCTGGGCAGTGGCAGAGTAAGTGTTCGATTGTCTCGATTTCTTCTTCATCTTGACAGATCCTACAGTAGTCAATGCCGTCGCTGTCCCATTTCGATGTCATAGCCCTCACCTTACAGTGACCTGTGATGATGCCCACCACGAGTTTTAAATAAGGTTTTGACAATGACATCAGCGACCTTGTTCTCTTCTCCGAGAGCGTGGGCCAGATTCGTTTGGGGATGGTACAACCAATTTCATCCAGCCATTTTTGTTGGATCTTCTCAGAGTAGTGTTTGTGAATAGCCTGCAGGAAATGGCACAGTGGTGGTTTAACCGAGTTGTCTACTTGAATTGTAGTTGGTTCGGATCCTAATCTGGCCAGTTCGTATGCAGTCTCATTACCTGGGATGTTAAAATGTCCAGGAACCCAACAAAGCTTGATGGACAACCCAGTGTTTTCCAAGGCTTCCCTGCAGCTCAAAACAGCCCTAGACTTGATTGTAAAGGAACTTAAGGCCTTTAGTGCCGCTTGACTATCGACGTATATAGTCACCGGACTACTGACTTCAATGTTCCTCGTGACCAGCAGGTCATTGGCCTTTTTGACTGCAATGATTTCCGCCTGAAAAACGCTACAGTTGTTTCCAAGCTTGTAGGATTCACGAACGTTAAGAGTATCACAGAAGACACCAGCTCCCGTTCCACACTCCATCTTTGAACCGTCAGTATAGACAGCTATGCCGCGGAAAGGTGGGTTGTTTTGAGCCCAGGCGTCTCTGTCAGGTGGGTAGAAGCTTAGTCGTGGTGAAATATAGTCACTTGCAAAGTCTGTCTCTCCCACATTCTTTACACGCCTTAGAATCGCAGAATGTCCAAAGGGTTAACTGCGCCATTCACCTAGTTCTCTGAGTCGAAGACCACTCCTGGATGCCTGTTCCTCCACATATAAATTCAGTGGGCCTAGGCCCAGTAGAGTATCCAGTGCTGCTTGAGGCGTGCTCCTGAAGGCACCCGTTATTAATAAGGATGCGGCCCGTTGAATTTTGTTAATATGTCGTAGATAAGTTAACTTCTTCAAAGAATGCCACCATACATAAAGGTTTAGTCTGACTCTATCTAGTTTCGGTGGTGTAAATGTAGGGTATTTACGTCTCTTAGTGAAAAGGACGAGCTCTGTCTTTGATGGGTTCACGCCATCCATAGTCCATTGCGACACGCCCACCGTGATAAGGTGACTAGAGCTCCTTGCATTAGATCCGAGATTGTTTGCACGAATTTCCCGGCTATTAACAGGACGACGTCATCAGCGTATGCGACTACTTTCGTTCCTGTTACCTCTAGATCCATAATTATATTATTGATGACCAAAAGCCAGAGTAATGGTGATAGGACACCCCCTTGCGGAGTGCCCCTCGTGACCGATTTCCTGATGTATATTTCCCCAATGCTCGAGTTGATAATTCTGCTGCTAAGCATGGTATCAATCCAGTCTATGTGGAGTTGGGGTATTTTAAGTTTTGATAAGGAATCATGAATGGATTCTAGCGTGACGTTGTTAAAGGCTCCCACAATATCGAGGAAGGCAGCCAAGGTGAATAAGGAACCATTCATGTTCTTCTCTATATACCCTACGACATCGTGTTGCGCTGTTTCAACAGACTTACCTTTCATATAGGCATGTTGAGCATTGCTGATGACGGTCTTGGGTACTAGAGATCTGATCTCTATTTCTATCAGCCTTTCCAAAGTTTTCAGTAGAAAGGATGAGAGACTTATTGGTCTATAGTCCTTGGGAAGTGAGTGACTCGGTTTCCCCGCTTTGGGGATATAAGTAACTGTGACTTCTCTCCAAGCTTCAGGAATGTAGGATAGACACAGACAAGCTTTGAAAATCTCCCCCAGTATTGGGGATAATGACGCTGAGACACGTTGTATCATAGCGGGAATAATACCGTCTGGTCCTGGAGATTTAAAAGGCTTGAATGTATCTATTGCCCATTTGATTTTGGGTATGCTTAATATTCTGTTAGCCAAGTTTTGTTCACTAGCCGTATGATCACGATGCACTTGATCGGTTTGCCGATTGCTTGCAGCGTCGATACAGCCTGGGAAGTGTGTGTTGGCTAGCAGGTTAAGACTCTCTAGTCCAGAGTCAGTCCATGTGCCGTCAGTCCGTTTTATACTTCCTATGGACTTGGGTTCCTTCGAAAGGATTTTACGAAATCTGGAGGCGTCGTTGACACTTTCAATAGACTCCGTGAAACATACCCAAGATGTGCGCTTGGCCTTCTTGATCTCACTGTTGTACTTGTTAAAGGATGCCTTATAGGCATCCCAGTCAGTACGTAGTTTGGTCTTATTGGCCCTATTATACAGTCGTCTACTGTCCCTCCTTAAGTTGGCTAAATGCTTTGACCACCAAACTGGTTGACATTTCTTCCCTGGGTAGGTTAACGGACAGACTTTTTCATAGCAATCAATCAAAGCACTCGTTATCGCATTTACGGAGTTGTCTATATCGAGGGTTGAGGTTAAGACCATGTTGTCGAAACAGTGAAGCCTGGGTATAGCCAGCTCCGTAAATTTGTCCCAATGTGCCTTTCTTGGATTCCTATGTGGTTTTTGAGGAATACCATCTACTAAGACTTTGAAAACTATCTTCCGGTGATCTGAAAACGAGCACTCAGGAGAGACTTTCCAGTCTTGTATTAGGGATTCATCCTTGTTAGTTAGGGTGAGGTCAATGACCTCTGCCCTGTCTTTGATCTGGAATGTTGCATCATTGCCCCTATTACAAATTTTGAGATTATATTTTAAGATAAAATCAAAAATCGACTCACCTCTGACGTTGGTATCGTTGCTACCCCATTGGAAGTGGTGTGCGTTGGCATCACAACCTATGATTAGATGCCCTTTGTCAGCTAGATCTTCGAGCAGCTCCTCTACTTCATGTCCAGGTGGGTCAGGTCGCTCGTACGGTAGATATAG